GATTTTGTATAATCATGCGATCTTTACTTAAGATCAAAAACTCCTCGTCATCGACCTTTTGGACTTCTTCAGCCATTATCCATTCCAAAACAACCATGGTCTTCTGTTTCTATGGACTTCATCACGGATCTTCTAATCTCAGGTTCTTATGAATCTATATTTGTGATAGTAGATTGTTTTACCAAGATGGCACATTTTGTACCATGTACAAAATCTATTACAGGTGAAGAAATAGCTAAGCTCTTTCTTCACAATATCTATTGCTATCATGGATTATCTAAGGATATTATATCAGATAGGAGAACTCAATTTATATCAAGATTTTGGCGGACTCTTTTCAAGATTCTAAAAGTAGATATAAAACTATCTTCAATATTTCATCCTCAAATTGATGGATAAACGGAGCATGTTAATCAAGTTTTGGAGCAATATTTAAGATGTACTATTAACTACCAACAAGATGATTGGATAACTCTTTTGCCATTGGCAGAGTTTGCTTATAATAACATGGTACATTCTTCTACAAAACAAACACTTTTCTTTGCTAATTATGGTTATCATCCACAACTTGATACTTTTGACTTTTCAAAAGTTGATAAACCTGCTGTGAAAGATTTGGCGATTCATTTATCAGAGCTACATGCAACAATGAAGGCGCAATTAAACGAAGCTCAAAAACAATAAAAGATCAATGCGGATGTCTATTGAAAGGAACAACCACCATTCAACTTGGGTGATAAGGTATGGCTACTTCGTCACAATATCAAGACTACTCGTTCTTGTGACAAGTTGGACTATTGAAAGCTTGGACCATTTTCTATTTCTGTATAAATCAATCCAATTACATATTGTTTACATCTATCGGAGTCAATGAAAATCCATCCAGTATTCCACGTGTCTCTTCTTGAACCATACAAGATAGTGGACATACCAAGAAGACGACAAGCTCCACCTCCTCCTATAGAAGTGGACAATAATGAAGAGTTTGAAGTAGAAGAAGTCCTAGATTCAAGGTGGCACCGAAATAAATTGGAATATCTTGTCCATTGGCACGGATATGATATTAGTGAACCCACATGGGAGCCAATTAAGAATCTTGTAATTGAAACAAAGGTGGTAGAGGCTTTTCATCGACAACATCCATCAAAATCAAGATGAAAACCTTCTTTATAAAAGAAACAACATCTAGGCAAGATAACATTCTACTTTCAATCCTTGTTTGTAGCTTCTTTGTAATTGTGATGCTCAAGAGATGGAAAACCAACAACCAACGGATTTGACTCAAGAACTTTTATTTGTTGACCTGTCAGACAAGACATTACAATTTTCACAACCTTCAAGATGATGTAATCGAGATGAAGATCTTCAAGAACAACATGTTCTTCCTCGAATAAATGGCGAGATACAACGTGTTTAATATCATGACTTGAGAAGGGACTCCCGATGTTTAGTGATTTTACTAGAGATAGAAACAACTCTTGATGGTATTCCAAATATTCTATTCGAAAGAAGTTATGAAGGCCTCAACAATGATCAAATAACTGTGTGGTCTTCTCGCCCTGGTATAGGATACTACCGATGGTTGAGAGGCCCTATCAATCATCTTTGAAGAGAACAAAGATCAGAGTATGTGGCAAATACAATTCATCGCATCATAGGTTTCCTCAACATATGATGACCACTCCTCGTAGAACTTCTCCTTAGAAGGGAGGATTATGTCATGGACATACTCATGTAAGCCAGTAATTACATATATAAATAAGTAGAAATAAGTAAAAGTAGATAAAAGAAAGATAATTCTATAATATTTGATATGGAAGCTTCCTAGAAGCTTCATAGATGCTGCTTTGACTTTATATGTATCTTTAATTGACTTTTTGGATTAGAAACGTGGTCAAAAAGTTGGCCATGTACCACACATATTGTTAGCTTGAAGACCAAGCTAAAAATATGGCCCACAAGTAGAAAAACTTGCCTTGTAAGTCAAGGCATGTATCCTACAAAGTCAACACATATTGGAGGTCGTATAGAACATTGCCACGTAGCTCTTAGTTAGATAGTATATATATAGATAAGAGTGAAGCCTTCTTCACTCTTGTCAACTCCTTTCTTGTTTCCAGTCTAGTTTCAAGAGTCTTCATGTTTTCTAGTCTTTGGCAATAGCCATTCCAGTTTTTCTTTCAATATACATACTTGTTTATTTATATTTTGTTACCTTTTTTTGAGTGAAGGCTCACTTGTCTGAATTACTTTTTCATCAAGTTCTTGTCTTTGACAATTTTTCAAATATATTTTTTAGACAATCTTACTTAGTATTAAAGAAAAGAAATACTCTTTTTGATCAACAATGGAAAATTCTCTTGAAGCAATTATATATTCATCTTCGAGTAGTGAAATCAATACTAATTGTTGATTCAAATTTTATTAAGCAAGTTTAGTGAAATATGCCTTTTAATTTTCTTATTTATGATATTAAAAAAAATCCTTCAAAGTTTCATCATACTTCTAAGTTTGAATTCAAAAAAAATCTACTATATTTTGAAGGAATCTTATATATTCCAAAACATAAAGTTCAATTACATATTCTTTAAATTTTTCACAACTTTTCAGTAGTATGACATTTTAGATATAATAAGTTTTTGGAATTAATATCTAAAGATTTTAAGTGGCCATAAATATAAAAAGTGATCAAAGATTTTATATAATCCTATGATGTTTGTTCAAAATCAAAAACTCTTTGTTATCAATTTTACAAACTTTTTCAGCTATTACCCATTTTAAAATAACGATAGTCTTTTGTTTCTATGGATTTTATCACCAATCTTTTAGTCTCAGGTTTTTATGATTCTATATTTGTGATAGTAGATTTTTTCACTAGGATGATATATTTTGTACCAAATAAAAAATCTATTACCAAGCTTTTCATTGACAACATCTATTGCTATCATGGATTGCTTAAAGATATTATATTAAATAGAGAAACTGAGTTTGTATCAATATTTTTAAGATACTTTTTGAGATTCTAAAGATGGACATAAAACTATATTTGGTTTTTCATCCTCAATTTGATGGACAAAAAAATTATATAAATCAAGTTTTGGAGTAATATTTGAATTGTACCATCAACTACCAACAAGATGATATAACAATTCTTTTGCCATTAACAAAGTTTGCTTATAATAATTCAATACATTCTTCTATGAAATAAATATATTTTTTTAATTATAATTATTATTCACAACTTGATCCTTTTTACTTTTCAAAAATTGATAATCTAATGGCAAAATATTTGAAAAATTATTTATTTGAATTATACACAATAATAAAAATATGACTAAAAGATATTCAAGAATAATAAAAGAGCAATGTAAATGCTTATTGCAAGGACCAATTTCATTTCTACATTGATAATAAGAAATGATTACTTTTTCATAACATTAAAACTATTTGCCTTTGTAACAAGTTGGATTATTGTAGACTTAGACCATTTCCTATCAATAAATAAGTCAATCCAATTGCTTATTAATTACATCTACTAGATTCTATGAAAATCCATTCCTTATTTTATATGTTTCTTTTGGAGCTATATAAGACAATAAATATTTCAAAAAAAAGACAAATACCATTGCTTCTTATAGAAGTGGATAATAATCAAGAATTCGAGGTAAAAGAAGATTTAAACTTTAGGCAACACCGACTTAGATTGGAATATCTTATTCATTGGCATAGATACAATAACTGCAAATATACATGAGAGCCAGAAAAAAATCTTGTAAATGCAATAGAGAAGGTCAAAGCTTTTCATTAACAACATCTATCAAAACCAAGATGAAGGATAATAATACTTTACTTGAAAAGAAACACAATTTAAAAAAGACTACATCCTACTTTATATCTTTATTTGTAATTTCTATATAATTATGGCGTTAAAGAAATGAAAAAATAACAATTAGCATATTCAACTCAAGAGCCATCATTTATTGACTTACCAAATGAGACATTACAATTATCATAGCCTTTAAGATGATATAATAGAAATGAAGACCTTCAAAAAAGACATGTTTTTTTTTCAAACAAATGGTGAGATACAATGCATTTGGTATCATGACCTAAAAAGAAAGTCTTGATGTTTGGTGATTTTATTGGAGGTAAGAACGACTCTTGATAGTATTACAAATGTTTTATTTGAAGGAAGTTACAAAGATCTCAACAATGATCAAATAATAGGGTCGTCTTCTCGCTTTAGAATGGAATATTACAAATGGCTAAGAAAACCTATCAACTACTTTGAAAAGAAGCAAAGATTAGAGTATGTAGCAAATACAATTTGCCACATCTTAGACTTCATCAATATACAATCATTGCTCCTTGTGGAACTTGTCCTTACAAGGGAGGATAATATCATAGATATATATTTATTATAATTATTACTTAAATAATATGAATATATAGAAATAAGTAAAAATAAATTAATTTCATAATATCTTCTAGAAAAGCTTTTTAGAAGCTTCATAGATATTGCTTTGACTTTACATATATTTATAGTTGATTGATTGATTAAAAACTTCATCAATAAGTTAACTATGTGCTACGTGTGTTAATACCTTACAAAACAAGCTAACTATATGGAACCCATATAAAAAACTTTCCTTGCGAGTTAAGATACATGTCATGTAAATTCAACAATGTTACCCTTGTTTTTCCACCCCATTATTGTTCATTACTCATAGCTGTTTTGTGGGAGAAAATTATGAAGAAGTTTGATACTTGTGGAGAAAGGAAAGGTGTAGACCAAAAATTGTGGTATCAAGCATGGAAGTTGCACAGATTTCAAAGATACAGGAAAGGAGCACACGAACTCTCTTTCACTCACTCACTCAATGATTGTGAAGATTCATGAGACTTAAGAAATCCAGAGTTTTGTGGGTGCTCGAGAAAAGCAAGATTAGTTACAAGATGATACATCAAGTTCGAATTTCCAAAGGAAAACCTTTGACTTGTTACAGAGATGAGAGTCATCAATTTTGTCCAGTGGGTAAATAAAGAATGGTAGTAAAGAATTTGTAACGGCCTACCGACAGAACAGTGTCCCATTTCTATACAAAAGACAACTCCGGATTCAATGTTAAGTCAAAAGATGTGCCCAGTTGTGAGTCTCCGAAGGACTCCAGAAGCTGGTTTTTGATCTCCAAGTCAAGTCCACTAATCTCCCTCTAAAATTTGTCGTTCAAAATCGAATAAGATACGGCAGTTGATTGATTTAACCCAACAACTTGCTGCCTCATCCCCACAACTGTGTGATCCATGATTTCTTGTGAGAGTCTCGTCTAGTTTCAGGTTGAGCCTTGAATCGAAGAATCGAGTGAGTGATGATCCCACCCATCAGCCAAATGACCACAACTCAACATCGTAAAGCAATTCCTCATCTACGTCATCTGATGGCACTAATTCGAATGGTCGCTCCACTTCGTTGAAGCCTCTCATCAGATCCACCGTGTCTTCCTCGTTCACTCCTTTCAGCATCTCGTGGTCGAAGAAGAAGCCCTTCCCAGGCTCCCGCGCAAGTGGATCCATCTCTCCCAGCCCCTTTATCCAATCCTCCAAATTGAACTGGTTGCTGGAATGTTTGAGCTCAGCCTTGGCATTCTCATAATCCACCAGCACCCGATTTGAAGGTCCTTTATCCAGTGGTGGTGAAGTCGCATGGTCGACTACGTGAAGCTCTGATACCTGGCTATCACCCTTCGATGAGGATGGAATTGTAAGGGGTGCAGCTTGGGGAATGGAAGCAGCGGCAGCTGCAAGAGCGCAGACTTGAATTTCTTTAGGAGAGGAGGGGTTCTGGGAGATCAAGAACGGGGGAATGGAGGAGGGGAAATTCAATTCCACAGCTGATGGACCCTTCAAACACACGACCGCCGCATCGTGGGCACGGGCTGCCATCTCGGCGGTGGCGAAGGATCCCAACCATATCCGCGTCTTGGTGATGGGATCCCTGATCTCCGTCACCCACTTCCCTCAAACCCGCATTCGCACGCCCTTGTATGGCGACGCACAAGAGAGCGAAGGCAGGCTCTGCGCATTCTGCCTCTCGAAACCAAAAGAATTCGCAGATTTCTTGGCTATCATGGAGGGACCGGATCTTTTCGGAGACCCAAGCAGGTACCCTCCTTGTTTGGTCTTGGCGGGGGTCAATTTCTTCTTCTCCACCATATCCAGTCCAATCAAACTCGCACTCGCTGATGTAAGAAATGACACACTTTCTTGTCTATGAACTAATCCCCAAATCTTGCAACCTCCAAATCCAAGCCTACAAACTCAAAAGTTTCTTGGAATGATGAAAGTCACCGAGACACCACACCCAGCATCGTGTGTGACGTTCTTTGCGCTATGCTGCTTGCATATGAATGGCGTTGGCCGTCGAGGCAGGGAAAGGATGTTCTTGAGATATATCAAGGCCAAGCGAATTCGTTTCCTGAACACGACCACTCCGCCCTCAAGTAAACAGAAGTCTACCCGTTTCTTGCAAGTTGGACTAAACGTTCCTTACGTACAAATTAGAAACTTCTCAACCGCTGCAATCTAGAGCAGACACTACCATTGACACTGAGTTTCAACTCAAATTGCAGACAACCATGATAACAGCTCGTTACATCAACACCGAGCAGCACTTATATATCAGGGCTGTGATGATTTCTTTGTTCAGGCCGACATTATGGGTGAAACATTCAGTCAGCCATCACTCTCATGTGCGGACACGGTCTTGGCGTCGTGGACTTCGCTTCATGTGTACAAAAACCCATTAAAAAACGAAAAGAAAAGAATAGAAAAGAAATCCGTCATCACTGCTCACTACCTTCTACTCTGCGACTGCACACCACAGCGTCCCTATTGTTTCATCCCATGCTCATTTCTGTTCCAGCCCTTCTACATTCTCCATTTCATCGTACACGATTGGAAACAGCAAGAAAACTAGCGTGTGTGCAGGTAAAGCTTAATCCTGGTAAAACGCAGCGATATGACGACTGTTTCTTTTACCCTAAAACCCACATTTTTGAACGAAAAGGACGTCAGATATGTCGGTAACGTTTCAACAAGCAGAGACGCTAGAGTGGCAAATCCTCCGACGTGCATATCACTTAGTAAACCAGTTTGTCGGTGGAGAGCTATTTCTAGTGAATGAATTCTAATAGAACTTATGCATTGCTCCCAGCTGAATGAAGGCCTATGGTCACTTCAACTTAAGAAAGAGAAAAAAATCTTAGATGTTGTTGACAGTGTGGTGTATAATTTACTTCAAATCATAAACCAAGTATATAAAAATAAAAAATGAAATAAAATAAAGAAAACCAATTAAACTAAGCCGGCTTTGCAAGAACTGCTATTACAGTGTGTGTATTGCACTTTAGCTATAGATTTCAAGGTTGCTGATTGTTGACGACATTTCAAGTTCACTTTAAATTGTCAAGAACATTTCAAGTTTGTTGATTGTGGAACATTCAATAAATCTCCTTATTGCAATTTACCATAACAATATTTGGGAATGTTTGTAAATATTGTGGTCCACACTATTTATCCCAAGTCATAGATAATGTGGATTACTAAATAGTTTGGTCCATTGTAATACATGGAGACCTTGCTGGAAATCAATATTTATAAATAGTATAGTCCACACTAATAACTGTAATTGATATTGTTAGGTTGTAAACAACTAATTTGTTTGTCTTTTTAGGTATTTTTTAATATTCACTTTAGACTAGTAAAATTTGGTGTTGATGTTTAAATTTAACTATTCCTACTATACAGTTGTATATTGCCTTACTCTACTTTACAAATAACAAGATTCATTGATTTCATTAAACTTGTGGTTTTTAAACTTTTGATTAAATTTATATGGGTTCTAAATTTAATGTCAAAAAATTAGAATTTAAGACATTCACACATATAAATACATGGTTTGAAAATAAAGTTTATTCTTTTTTGCATTATTTATCACAACGAAATCTCAATTTATTTATGATTTATATATATATATATATATATATATATAATCAACTTACTTCTAAGCTAAGAACAAACTAAAATAGTCTCATCTGAAAAGAATTGGATAAACTTTACATCTCGTCTAAAAACCTACCCTATTTTTAATATTTATCATAACTAAATATCAATTCATTTCTCTAAGTTGGTTGGTTCAATGAAGATGGCTTGACTCAACCAAGTTGAGTCATGCAAGGCTTTATTTGACTTAAAAAATCTTTTATATAAAAAATTTCAAGAGAATTTTTATTTATAAAATAAAATAAAATAAAATAAATATAAACTATAATGTAATATAATTTAGATTATTTTTCAAATGTTAAATATATGATTAAATTATAAGTAATTAATTTAAATTATGATAATATTAACAATACTCAAAATATATAAAATAAAATAAAAATATTCTTGGTATTTTGAAAGATATATATATATATATATATATATATGGTCGTTTCTGTTTGTATACAATTTTTTTTATTTATTTATATATGTTATATTATATTATATTATATATATATATTATATTATATTTATTTATATATTATATTTAAATATTATATTATATTATATTTAAATATTATATTATATTATATTTATATATTATATTATATTATATTTATATATTATATTATATTATATTTATATATTATATTATATTATATTTATATATTATATTATATTATATTTATATATTATATTATATTTATATTATATTATATTATATTTATATTATATTATATTATATTTATATATATATATATTATAGAATTAAATAGTAATAGAAGTATTTAAGATTCAGTCTTGAAAATAATTAATATGTATATTCTTTAATAAAAATATATTATATTGATAAAAATAGATAGATACTAATTTAAATTTTAAAAAATTAGAGAAATCTATTTGTAATAAAATGAATTTTATTTTATATAGAAAATGTAACAAAATGTTTCCTTTATATAGAAAATGAATTTTATTTTATTAAAAAATGGGACACTACCTGTGTGTGAAGGACTTGGTCGCACCCACCCACATTCACATCTATCTCGTGCTGCCCAGTGAGATATTCTCCATGGTGCTGGATTCTTGCAACTGTTTGGACATCCGTTGATGCTGTCAGCACCATAACGACCACCGAGTTTGTAACCATGTGTTGATTCCTGTGTTGAATCAATCCCCCGGTATCGATGCATGACTGTCCCATTGATATTTTGGTGCATGGAGAGAGAGAGCGCGAGCTAGCCACTGAATCTGTTGACTGCACAAATATCTAGTGTCCCAAACATCAACCTAGACTGGTAGTCTTGTTGCCCAAACCAGGAGCATCCACGCAATGGATTTACAAGTGGGCTGAAATGTCGAAATGTAAAGCTCTTGAACATGTCTGAAATACTAGTGATATGGTACAGAATTTGACCCGTGCAATTTGAATGAGGTAGTGTACCAAAAGAGGAGAGAATCAGGGAAAGCGGCATGTGGTTAAACTCAAATACTCAAAACTTGAAGAGAACCTGTTTGTCGAACAATTCACAATAATAATTGTCACCGTTTATATTACTACATGCTTCGTGCTCTTGCAGTAGCCAGGTGTTTTAACCAACATCGTGCAAAGGGAGGGTTGCAGCAAAAACTAGTAGACCGCGTCAAATGAACTACTAAAACAACCTTTAATCAAGGTCGCATACATACAACAGTTCCTTCGACGACTTCATCGTCATGTCTGCATCCTCCCCGAAGTCCTGATCTTTCCATTGAAGTTTCAGTGTGGAAGGTGAAGTGGAGAGATGGTAAAGCAATTGGGTCTGAAGTTTTTCACTAGAGATTCAGCACTCGTTAGTTTGTGAACTATGCTGGCTCTTCTTTATAGCATATTTTTCCTTGCATTTGCAGAGGTGGACTAAGTTTTTCAAGTCAGGAGCAAAGTGAAGCAGAGTTTGGCTCCATAATTGACAGAGGGATATGTGTGTCCATATATATATATATATATATTGCTCCAAAGAGAATTTCTCTTGGCTGCTAATTCTATTCTGTGAAGATGGGTGTGATACCAGGAATCTAATTTGATTGGAAGTTGTATAACAAGATGGTATACAATTTCAGCACAACCAGGTTTGGGAGTTTCAAGTCAGTTTGTGAGAGTGAGGAGTTTTTAGAAAGTTCTTTCTAAAGTTTCTGGACTTCTTGGATTTTTTGAATATTTAATCTTTTTTTGTCTTCTTACATTTTGTGACAAGATGTAAGTAGCTCCTAAACAGTAAGGACTAGGATATAATTAATGACGTTCTTTCTGATTTTTAGATGAGATTTCAGGTTTTTAGGCTAACAATGTTCACTTGTTGCCTAAGTTTTCTTTTTAAGTTAAACCTAACTGGGAATTTTGTAAGAATATTTGGGGATTGCAAACTGGTTGTTGAAGAGAATAAAACATGAATTGTTAAATAAATAATTTTTTTAGAATACAATTTAACATTTTTATGATATTAAATCTTGAATCATAGGTTGAGTTACTAAATAAACAAAATAATTATAGAAAAAAATAAAAGCTGTCAAAAAAATTGACAGAGAATTATTAACTTGATTATTTTTAAAAAACTACAAACAAAATTCAACATGTGCAAAGAAGAGATAGAAATTTGTAAAGATCTTTTGTTTTGAATAGAAATATTACTTTGTAAAAATATTGGTAGATAATGTAAGAAATTTAAATATAATATTTTTTGTATCAAAGATTATTATAAATTTTATTTTTTATTTTATTTATTTATAATAGAATATATTTTTATTATAGTAAAATAAAAATTACATAAAATGAATTAATTTTAGATTTTTTAAAGTATATATAAATTGCTTACTATTTAATGCTTTTTAAAGTTTTCTCATTTCTATTTAATTTTAGAGCTATTGGCAACTTTTGTTGTTTCTTATTACTGAAAATATATTTTTATTTTAAATTATAATGTTTAAAGGGTTTATTTTCTTGTTTTCATTTTTTAAAAATATTTTTTTTGTTTGTCTTGTGACAAATATATCAAATTCAGAATCTTTAGACACTTTTTTGTTATTATAAAAAATTTAGGTTTTAAATTTTTGTACACAATTTTTTACTAATGAACCTTTAATTTATTTTATTTTTATTTTTATCTATTTTTATAAGAATTTTTTTTAAATCCAATTCATAAATGAGATTAAAAAAATAAAATAAAGTACATCATACTACTTCACTTCTTATATCTAACAGGCAATGCTAAGAGTACAGAAAGGAAGGAATAGTAACTACAATTAACACAATTACATTCTTTTATTTATTTGACTCCTTTACATTATATATGGATTATTTATGTTTTATATTTTATATTTTTAACAATTCGATTTCTTTATAATATTAATTTTTAAAATCATCTATTATATATACATTTAGAAAAAAATTGTAATTTAAATATATCATAATTTTTTTAAAATATGACTTTATACATGTATATAATTAAAGTATATATATATATATGTGTAATAATTTTATTCTAAAATAAAAAATAATATTTTTTATTATTGTATTTTTATATAATTAATCCTTCCAAAGAAACTTTTATAGGAGTTAGATATTTTATACTTTAGAAGATATTTTAAATAGGTATGTTTTACTTTTTTAAATTCAAAATCTTATTTCAGATTTGATGGGTTACAAAAATATTATATTTTTTTGAAATATCAAGAAAAAATGAGTTCTATATAGATATATATATATATATATATATAGATATTTATTATAAAAAAATATATCTTATATATATATATATAGAAAACCAATTACTATTTGGAATTGTTTTTAGTAAGTGCAGATCTGTAGAACTTAGTACACTGCAGT